CTATTACATACATTCGCTAATAGTGGCAATTAGTTTTGTCTGTATAGTGAAACAACATACAAAGACATATGTTGAAATAAACTTGTTTGAAAGTTCAAAGCAATTATATTCAAGTATCGAAAAGCTTTCTTACTATCATATCTACAGTAATTTTCAAATGTGCCTGCATTGGACTGAACAAGAGTGACCACCAACAGGCATGATAGTTTACAGCAAATGTACAAAGTTCACGCTGCTAACCCCACAGTTTAATCGGCACAATAAACAAAAGTACAGCTGCATAAACATAAACTTGAAATAAAAATACATTTATGAAACAAAATTAAAATGTTTTTATGTACATATATAAATATGAAATCCTAGTTAAAAATAAAAATACTTGTTTATTGTTTAGGTTTATTTACAAATATTATTTTCGGGTTTTGTATATTACTTGAAACCATAAGGAGAGTACATGATTATTAAAAAAATTAAAAACAGACAAAATTTGCATTTTACGTATGGTAAAAAGTTTTTAGGGATTTAAAATAATGTACTAGTACATAAAAAGTAATAACTTCACATCTGGAACAAACAAATATCATAATAATTTCTTATAAATACAATTTCCCTATGTAATTTTCCAAGATATTAAAGATCATTATGCAAAAACACTAAATTTATCAAAAGTAACAGGCTTTATGTTTCTTAAACTACATGCATTTATGAAAGTTCTTATGAAGTTTCAAACAATTTCATTCACTAGTTTTATTGTTGGAATGAAATATAGCAAGACTTGCATTGGCTACTCAGAGAGTTAGTAGCTGGTGGTCATCAGGTTAAAGAAGCACTAAATGTGAAGTATGCAAATACTACATAACTATATTGGTCTACAGTGTGTATATTTGTGTGTGTACAAATTTTTAAATTTTTAAAGTTCTAATTTCAAACATACTTAATTCAGGTGAAACAATGTGATATATTCAAATTGAGGTGTTATTTTCTGTAACAGACCTGGTCAATAAACTTATGTATTGTTCCATCGCTGTACCCTACTTTACCTTGTGTATGGAGGACTGCTTTACAATTGTCACATAGACTAGAGATACTTCTGTAATACAGTAGAACCTCAATTAATGGGCACCACACCATAAAGGGCAGACCTTTTCAGTCTCTTTTTATTTATTTTTTACTATTTATAACCAAAACAAATCTTGCAATAACAGGCACCTCGATATTCTGGATTAAGGGTTGTGTCTTTAGTATCGTTCTCTATACAAGCACTTGATAAAGCAGGCAGTTATCTTTGTATGCCTGTACAGTATACCACTAAATTCCAAACATCTCAGAAAGATTAAAATATTCAAACACTTGCGACGTCTACTGGATCGGCTCTGAACCACATACCATAATAAATGTTTTCTAAGATTCAAAGTGCAATCTTATTACTCTGGAGAATTCTCATTGTAAACACTGTAGGATACATAAGGTGGTAAATTTCACATGGTGTTCTTGGAGCAGGGGTCAAGTCGACTTATTTCAGTGCATGTGCTTTGTTGCACTTGAGAGTGTTGTATTACAGTGTCATGTAAACAGTCTAATGACACAAGCAATGATTTGTTGCTTTATTTTCAGCAGATTTCTACCTCAGTCGCTGACAGTAAAACAAACACAGAAAATAAATGTGAAATGTTTAGCAGTTCAAACTCTGAAGAGAAGTACTTTGAAACTTTGTGACCAATAATAAAGAAAAAAGGGCACAGCTAATCCACTCCTGAGGCCTCCTGTTGACAACACTCCATGTCATGGTAATGTGCAACTCATGAACACCTATATCCTGCATACAACAAACAAAATGGTGGGCCTTAAAATTCAGAAATTTAGTCCTGTCAATATTGAATCCATCTTTGCATCTTGCTATAGAAGGCATTTGGAAGCAGGTGGAAGGGTGCCCTTAATGTTGAGGTTCGACTATATAGTTTACTGAGAGATCAGATACAGAGAAAAAGCTTGTTTGTCTGTTGTTGTTGTTAAGCAAAAAACTACAAAATGAGCTATCTGTATTGTACCCACAATGACTATCAAAACCAGAGTTTTATTGTAAAAAGTGCTGAGACTTACTGCTGAGTCACCAGAGAAAAGGTGCTTTGAAAATGCACTTTTGGCAGTACTAGATCAATACTTTTTATCTCTGAGAAGAAGGAACTCATGTCTAACAGAACATGTACTCACTAATGAAGTTTTGTCTTTATGTTATTTGATCTTCTGTCATCCTAATGGCTGAGCATGTGCACACCTTGGCACTTCATGAAAGTTTATGCTTTTTATATTTTTCATTTAAATACAACTTATTTCCTTAACCTTTGAGTTTATTATTTTATCCTATTTCATAAAATCGGAAAAGCTTAAAATTAATCATCCTTCTGTTCTTCTCAAACAATAAAGCATTTAATTTTTATTTCAAACTTCAGCACTGTGTCTTATGTATTTCTTTTTTACCACTAGATCATCACAACATTCATCTTAACAATAGTTCCTCGAATCTCTACTGTTAACTTTCAAAACAGTATATAAACAAATCAATGCATTCTAATTATTATAAGTTTTTGTTTTATAATATTGATTACTCCTAGTTATACTGGTGTATAGAAGTACCTACGTTATATATTTGCTGAATTAGTTTTACTTCTGATCTGTTTAAGTAGCTTTCTTTGTTCAGAAGTTATTGATAATCAGAAGAATAGTTTCACATAATGTATTAACTGTAAATAACAATTATTAAAAACATATTATAAGTCTCAGTGGGAAATAATACAAGCAAATTCCAAACTGGTAAGTGAATCCAAAACTTCAAAGACCTCTGTACAAATGATAGTTTTATTTGAAAAAAATATAAGTACACTTCAGAAAAAAACATTTACAACCACATGGCAAAGATTCAATATATATTTGAATGCATTTTGGTGACAAGGTAGCCAGGAAAATTATATATTCAAAAGATACTGGTTGTCAACTAATGTAATAGCAAAAGCAATGCAGTAAGTTTTTTTCTGAGAAAGAGATTTTGAAATGTTTTTGATTGTATTAAAAATTATGGAAGTTTTATCAGTTTAGAAGCAATGTTACAGTGAACTGCAAAAAAAAATACATTATAAGTTGTATTTTTAATGTTGTAATTTGTTAGCTAGATAGAGCTTTGGGTCATAATGATGATGATAATACAGGCCTAGAAAGTTCTAAGGATTTGACATCAAGTTTTCTAGTAAATTCAAGGTAGTGTATATAAATGTAATACAAGGTTCAATGAAGCATAATAAAAGACTATAGATAACAAAATAGAGAGTTGTTTCTAGCCAATAGAGTTAATTAGACAGTATGTCGTTAGTGAAATATTTGGATCTGTGTCAGCTATCACTTGTATTAAGTCATTTTGTACAAGTAACTTTATTTTTGTTATGTCAGTGTAATACAGTAAATGTGGCCTACAACTTGCTACAGAAATGATATGAGGAAATAAAATAATTTGCTACTATTATGTAGACTGGACATCAAATTATTTTTCACCACATACTTCAAAAGAATCTGCCAATGAGATAAAAGTGTCACAAAAATTTAACTTCCAACGACTTATTCTAACCATATTATTAGAAGTTCTATTTTCCCTTCAAAAGTGATACCACAGATTACAGCCTATTCCACAGTCAAGCAATCACTATTTCTCTGCAAAACAGTTTCAAGTTAACAAGCAAGAATGAACAAAATGTTAGATACAGCAGCTATAACAAAAGTTTCAGATGCAATAATGATTTGTAAAACATGAGTAGAAATGACAAAATAATTGTTAGATATACGGTATTTAAGTATAGCACAAGGGTTAAATTATGTTATTTTTAGAAGCAATAGCTCATCACAGGTTTGTTTAAGTAAATGTTTACGAATCATATGTAGTGTAATTTGATTGTTGTTTATTGTTGTGTCATGTTACTAGAATCTTCTTAATTTTTCTCATTGTTTTAATTGAGTATTATTTTATCATAATATTTTGTTGTGTGTGGAATATACTAGGCCTTGGCCAGACTTAAATATGCATCCAAAATGTAGTTAGTTAGTCAGATAGATGGATAGATCTATACTGCATGATTATGGGTTTAGCAATAAAGAGCATATATTGGCAATTTATAAAGTGAAATTATCACAGATTGTACTGTAATAACAGAGTAGAGTGGAAGTATTTGTCTTGTCAATTGTGTTCTAAAGTAATTGAACCAGATTGTGTGGACTTTGATGAAAAAGTCACAATTATATTTAAAACTCTGGATACAATTGTGATAACAAACAGTGTAACAAACATTTTAATATACATTAATATATTATTTTAAAACAAGTGGAAAGTGTGTTGTTTGTTTATTGTTGAAATTTATCACCAACAAGTCACAGACACCTACTGTTCAGAATCTGGCCCATACATAAAAACTGACAATGACTAATAACTAAAAAGCTAATAAATTTGTAATGCTATTTTGTATGGATCAAGAACTGGTAGTGTTATTTAACATACCACTTATTGACAAACACACTAGTGAAATGAAAAATTAGTCATATTTACTCCTTGACTGAGAAGAAATTCCTCAGAAATTTTGTGAAAAACTTCTGGATTATGTAGCAAAACAAGTGAAACATCAAAAAAATGTTTTTAATATAGGTTGAAATAACATCAATGACTGAATTAGAATTATTGTTAATAACTGAAGTATTACAGAATGTGACAACAAGAAGAAATATTGTAAACCTAGATGACCTACGAAACAAAAAAGCTGCAGAATTATAAAATGTAAAGATGTTTGTAGTATTTTGTTTTGAATAGTTCTTAAACTATTTTAACTTTTAACCACCATTTAAATTTTAGAAAGGATTATTATGCTAATTACTAGGAAACAAGCAGTAGAGAAAAACTGAATTCCAAAAGTTTAAATTTTCTTAAAGAATAATCACTGTTAAACAAGTAAGAAAATCAATCTCACCTTTCTTTCAACTGGATCTTTAATTGTGATATCTTTCCCTAGTATTTTCTCTTCACAAGTTCTGGACTTTTCTGTATCCTTTACTTTATCACACATATACCTTGATTTTTTACAGCTTTTATTTTTATCATTCTTCATTTTAGAAAGACTTGAATTTGGTTTGAGGTTCTTCATACCTAACAGAAGAATGTAATAAAAGTTTTATACATAATTTATTAATACTGTAAACAAGATACTGGTTGTTTGTTCCTAACTCCAACATGTATTTAGCCAAAAACCTTCTGGATGAATCAATTTGGTTAAATTTTCATCAATTAAGAAACTTTCAACTATACATATATTACTATATCTGGAATTAGTATTTTGTACTGTAACAGCATTTTATCCACACAAGAACTAAATAGCCAATTCAAAGACCCCTAGGATTCAAGAATAACAATTTTGAACTATTCACCAGAGGGAAAGCATGATACAGCAAGCATCCCTGGCATCACAAGGGCATTGTACAGTTTTTATATCAAATAATAGGACAGAGTAAATTTTATAGCATACCCACAGCTAAAAATGCAGTGTGTGTGTGTGTGTGTGTGTGTGTGCATTCAGTGGTATAAAGTCTTGAACCTAGCATCCTTAAAGCATGGCCTGACATACTAAATACTAAGCTACACCTGATCCTACTAAATCTGTTTCAAAAGAAATTTTAGAAATAACATATACATTTTATAAAATGTTGGATTTATAGTAAGATATCACCAGAAATTAATACTTATGTAACATAAAAAAACTTTGTCAACCAAGGCTGTTTTTAAAACTACATCTAGTTTGAAACCAAAAACAAAATTGACTTTATATTTGTTTTAACTCTTTCCCACGGACCGACCTCATAACCATTTTGTGCTTGTTATAGTTTTCATGCTATAACTTTAGATTAATAAGCATATCTTCAAAAAATTTTGCAGATTATCAGTAAACATTACAAGGCTTTTGCACACAAAATATCAGTTATTTTTATTAAGTTTTAAGTTTTTTTAAGTAATGTTCTTCTCATGCCTTTTTTCTTTTCGAATATTGCCTATCAAACATGCAAAGTAATTTTGATTTCAAGTTTAACAATACTTTTATGCATCAGAACATTTTCAAATTTCACATGCAAAATCTTTATTACCTCCAGATAACTATAAAACGTTTTTTAAGAAAAAACTTTATATTTTATCTCTTATTTTCACTATCAAATCTCTGTGGGGGTTCGGTCAAGTTGACTGGCCTCGTAACTTTGTTTGTTTGAATTTCGTGCAAAGCTACATGAGGGCTATCTGTGCTAGCCATCCCTAATTTAGCAGTGTAAGACTAGAGGGAAGGCAGCTAGTCAGCAAAACCCACCGCCAGCTCTTGGGCTACTCTTTTACCAACAAATAGTGAGATTAACCATCACATTATAATACCCCATGGCTGAAAGGGCGAACATGTTTAGTGGGATGGGGATTCGAATTCGCAATCCTCAGAATGCAAGTCAAGAGGCCTAACCACCTCGTAACTACCATAAACAATTAGGATATAAATATAAATTATGCTTTTTTCACTCTAGAATGACTATAAATTATAATATGAAAACACAAATGTTTAGTCTTATGTAGCTTAAGTTAACATTTTCCTAAATTTAAAATGTATTTCCAATAATACTTACCTACGCTGACACTTATAACTATTACTCGACTGCCAGGGTTTCAGCATTGCTCATCTATGCATTGGTCTGATTTTTTCTCACTTGCTCCAGTCTTTTATGCCCCACACAATTGCCCTTGACGATAACTGTCTTGTTATACTCTTTACCTTCGTCAATGCGCCCTCTATCCTGGTACTGTATATAAGCACCTCATTCAGATAATTTTATCACTTTTTCAAGACTAATACCATTCCTGTCTCTAACACCAACTCTTAGTGAGGAGGAAGGGCAGGAGAGTGTTAGCAGTGGTAAGTATTATTGGAAATACATTTTCAATTTATGAAAATGTTAATGTCCAAAACATACTTATCCCCAATGCCACTTATAGCTAGAATCTCACACTGAGAAGGTGTAGGGGCCAGTGAGGCATTTTCTATACAGAAAGCATCTGCATAGATCATGGGTGTATAAGATAAAAGTGGTACTTGAGTGGGGGAACTGCACTACATCCAGAACAGATACGCTTTTCATCCTGAACTTAGTTCCTGTATCAAGGGTAGAATTGTACATGAGTAATCATCACTATAGGCCAGCCCCAGCCAGACAGCCCAGGTTCCACTACTCGGTATTTGAATTAAGAAGTCTTGGGTCCCTATATCCCACATTGGAGGCTAAGGAAATTGGTATGCAATGTTATATATATACTTTCGACTGGATCCCAAGTTGTAGCCATGGAGTCATGCATTCCGAACCACCCAAATCACAACGAGAAAGTAAGCAACACCTAAGCAGAGAAACCATCTCCCCCACCTGAAGAAGTCCAAAAGGCAACACCCCAGGCTTGGAATGATAGGATTGAGTATGCCTTACTCAACCAAAGGAACAGAACTCCTCCAGTCTGGAATTACGAACATTCATCCTCACTTTCCAACCAAGTGAGAAAGGAGCATTCCACTTGCCCTCAGAATTATGGGGAGGATATGGAACTACTGTGCTTAATCAAGGACCCAGGATGGGACAACTCCACATTTGGAATTACGAGGAAATAGTGGACCTATTTCCACGAATAATATACTGAATCGATACTGATCAAAAAGAAGGACCATGCACACCCAAACCAGATAGCTGAGCATCAAATTTGAACCAGTATTACAAGTAGGCTCCCGCATAGACTGGTTCCACTACTACTGTCATCTGGAAGAAACATCTATAGACCCAGGTAGTAGGGCCCCCAACTTTGCCCTCTTCTCCAAGAGTGGAGGAAGTCACTCGAACACTGGATGAAAGACCTCTGTCCACCACTCCAGTGACTGGAAACGAGGTGTGGTAAGGATTCCCTAGCTACACTGGTAGAATCTGGGGAAGTAATGTGTATTGGGAAGTCCTGAAAAACAGTGCTCTGGAAACAAGTGCAAGTTTCCTAAATTTTTGAAAACAAACTGACCCCAATTTATTCAATCTAATGATCAGCAAGGACGGCAGCTTTACTCATTATTGTCCATGAGTGGCAGTCCAGCATAATATGGTAATACCATCTGGTGAGCTCCTAGATGGTTTTATGGAAAACCTCAATTCTACAGAGCCTGTTGCAACTGGTAATAATTATAGTGAAAATTGATTGCTAGTGCAGAATTGGATTGATAAAAGCACACCTGTTTGGACAAACTCGCCATACAGTAGGATCCAGTGAAAAAATAAAAGAGGTAAGGGACCTTGGAAAATAAAGAGACAAGAGGAGGGGAAAAAGAAACTCACCCCTCCTTATAATCTAGCAGATGTGGTCAAAATGGCCACAGGGTGGTAGGTGAAAACCCTCAGAAGAAGAAACTGTCAGATCATGTAAATAATGTGAGAGAAAAGTATTGGGAGAAGTCCACATACCTGCCCGCATGATGTCCTCCAGTGAGCAATTGAAACAGACAGCTAAAGACAAAGAAATGTGACAAACCTGATGAGATGTGACTCACAGAAGTTTTCTTGCCTATAAAGAAAGTCCAGAATAAGCAATATGGATCAGTTTGTGAAGCCACCTCATCAAGGTAATCGGGAATAAATCCCATTGTGAACCTAGGAGGATCTAAGAATTGGTTGTGATGAGAAAAACTGATGATCGGACGCCAACCTCACATCTTCATGAGCACAACAAATAAATGGGAATAAAATCCCGGAAGAACGAGATCAACTTTCTCTACTGCCCCCTTAACCAACAACTCTCCAATAGCCTTGGAACAAAGTTCTATGCTCTGTGGATCTGTTGGGGGTGGAAATACCACAGGTTGGGAGGATGATGGAGAAGCAAACTGAATGACCAACCCCAATGCCAGAACCTGAAGTACCCATGGATCTGTGGTGAAGGAATTCCAGATGTCCAGAAAATGTTGTAATCTCACTCCCACAGACCCCACCAGCATAGGGTAGTCACTGATGTCCTTGATGACAGTCTGCCCGAGTGGAGAAGCCTCTAAGATAAGGACGAAATCTATTCTGGGTACCAATAGATCAAGGTGCTGAAGCCGGGTGTCAGGACACACGACGAGCAGTCACGCCATGACTTCCAGCAGGTGCAAAGTTAGTCTAGAAGCCAATAACAACAAGCTCACACAACTCATGGAGGGCAGAAGCAGGTAGACAAACTTCTTCCAACAAGGCATCTCTACCCAATAAGTCCTGACAACATACAAGCCAGGAAACTAAAGAAAGAGCAGAAGCTGACAATCTTACCAAGGTAGAAGTCAGCAATGGACCCAATTCATCATCAAATTGATGTAAGGAATGCTGAGAGGCTTCCAGCAAAATTTGGAGAGAAGCTAAATATCTCAGAACAATAGTGAGGGCCAGAAAAATCTGAAAAATTGTGATCTGTTGAAAGTGTTCACAGGGTCCATGCTGTTCTGACAAGCGTGGGAGACAAGGCATAGCTATCCTATCATGTAACTGAGAGGTAAATCTCCCAGAATGAACAGCAATATTAGGTGAAGAAGTAGTCACCCTCAGACTTTTCAGTTAACAAGGAAGGAGTAGATTCAAAAGCAACCGGGGAAAGCCCCAAAACCTCACAAACTCAACTGACTAACTGAATAAATGAAATAGGAGGTGGCTGATCCAAATTGGCCTCGAGAGAAGCCAATCTAGTAAACAAAGGCACTGGGGGAAAAAAAATGTCCTAGATCATTGGCAAAAACAACCTCAGAACCCCCAGGAGAGACACTCCCGAACTGAATATATGGCTCCATCTTGCAATGAATGAGATCACAGGTAGCCCCAACTTAGAGAGCATCCCCCTGACCATTGAGAAGCACTAGATAGCAGAGGTGGAATAGGAGAGGGCTGACTAGTCTCTGTGCTGGAAACAGTAACCTGAGAATTCATGTCTAAAACAGCATGTCAGATAAACAAAAGTTGTTTGTTTTTATAGAATTACTAATTATACTTTGTACAGAAATCAACTAGGTGAAGCAAAAATCACAACCAAGAACATTAACTATTGCAGCACTTCTTTAGAGAAACCCGTGTCTAAACGCTTTGTCAAGAAAAAGTGATAAAATTATCTGAATAAGGTGCTTATATACAGTACCAGGATAGAGGGTGCATTCATGTAGGTAGAGGGTATCACGAGACAAATATTGCCAAGGGCTAATTGAGTTGGGTATAAAAGACAGGAGTGAGAAAAAAATCAGACCAATGCTTAGATGGGTAAAGGTGAAAACCTAGCGGTCGAGTAATAGCTATAAGTGACAGCGGAGGTAAGTATGTTTTGGAAATCTCATAACATTATACATATATATATATATATATACATATAAGTTAATAATTCTATTATATTGATTTTTAAGCCATGCCTCACTAACATTACAGAAGTTGCAATGATGGGGCACACGTGCATTCATGTTTCTGTATCCAAGAAAAACTGGCCTTTACAAAGTGACTTGTCTTGGCTGTGTTTTTGTGGACTAGCATTTTGTAAAATACAGTCACATTTCAGTTATAATACATTATACATGTATATACATTATTCTATTTAGAAATAAGTTCTTAAAATTATTTTTCTTAAAATACAGAACTATAAATAAAGAAGTATAGCAAACAATTATCTCTTCTAGTTATGAACTTTGTACTTGTTTGCTGCTTGCCTTATCAAATTTCACACATGGAGGATATGAAATGAAATAATTTTTTTTAGGTTTTATATATACATTTTGAAATAAACTAATAGTCTTAAATTACTATATCAAAACCATAGAATTCCACTATAATTTATGAAGCTTAGTAACTAAGCTGTATTTGGATCTAAAAAAATATAAAATTATGAGCTCACTAAAGTCTTACCTTACCACTTGGAATTTGGCATGAAAAGAAATAGCTTGATGCTCGAATACTTCAAAGAGGCTGAGAAAGCACTAGGGGGATATTCTAAGCTTTCAACTGATTATTCACAAATCATAGACAGAAGTAGGTGTAGTACGTAAACAAGTGTTTCCAAAAATGGAAAGAGGTGGGCAGGGCCACTGTGTTTGATTCAGTAAATGTAGCAATATCTCAGTAAATAGAAAAGATAGGAGGTTATTATTTTATATCCTAGCTTGTCAATATCAGCAATTTGAGTTCCTAATTCATAAGAAACTATTGACTTTGTACTTGGACATCACAAACATCTAGTTTTATCCAATGATGCATTCAACATACCACGTGACACACAAAAACCGATATTTAGGTGTTTTTTAATATTTAATTTTAAATAATTAAATTAACTAATGTTTTATACTAAAATTTGAATTATAATCTACAATTTGATACCAAACGTATTGACATAAATTCATAAAATAGTAGTTCAATAAAATTTTGAATGCAAGTCAACAAATGACGATAGTGTTAATACAGTTCCTGCAATTTAGGTCATAACCAACTATATATAAAAATGAATGAATGTTTATAACTATAAACCCCACAGAAAAAAACTTGTCCAAATATATTTAAGGAACTTGTTAAAGTCTATACTGGAATAACTTTTTTGATATTTTAATTCCTTTGTAAAAGAATGTACTAATCATAAGCATGTACAAATATTCATAACAATGCTGCTTGTTACGTCTTGTCTTACTTGCACCCAACTTTCAGTTTAATTTACCATAACACAAGAAACCCAATAGCCTAATTTTACCATTTCCATAACTTCTGTGTTTGATTATAACATCAATTTTTCAAGTGCCTTTTAAGGTACAAGTGGGTGTGAAAATAAACTAGATCAACTTGCAAGTTTCAGAATATTTTTTTCTGTTTTCCTACGAAACAAACTATATGTTTGTGACCATCTAATAAACTTACAAATATATATATATATATAATGTACCTAAAATATTGTTTCTTAGCTTCATAATGCTTCATGATAATTGGAATTTTAAGTTAAAATTTGTATATTCAAATGTGGCATTTAGCAAATTATTAGTAAAGCCATAATTTGAAACAACTCAAAAGGCCAACATTGATATAACTTTGATACATGTGTAAAAAAAATTCAAACATATACCTTTGATTTTTGCTTTCTCCTGAGCAGAAATATGTACATTTTCAAGCTTTCCCAAAGTATATTGAGCTTTCTGGAAATCGATCATTTTGACCCATTCTTGATACAACAAGTCTTCAAGGGCTACATCAGTAAAATCTGGATGCTGCAGTCTCTTTTCATCTAAATTTCTCTTACAAAACACAGAAAAACTATTATTTTTTTCAGCTTTCCAAGAACTATGTTTTTCTTGTAACTTTTTTTCTGGATTTTTATTCTTGAAGTTTATACTCCCTTTCATTTTATGAGAGCATATTTTTTTAGTATTTGTGGCAAGTTCTTCTTTTAGTATTTTGCATTCAGACATTTGAGGCTTCTTGACAGAGGACTTCTTGTGATGCAATGTCAGCTTCTTATTTTTGTTCACATCACTATTATCTAATTTCTGTGAATCTGTAAAAAAACAGACTTGTTTCATTAACAACCCACTATTTAAAATTTAAATATGATGATTTTCCCTGAACATTTAATAATTGTATGTAAAAAAAATATAATAACAGTTTGAATTCAGTTAGACAAGTATAAAGTATTGGCAATGTTGACTGAAAGTTAATTAATGGATTTTATAAAATTGAAAATAATTTTTAAACTACATAAATCATTTGGATTCTGAATGTTTTTCAATCTTATATATTATATAATGGAATAACTATTTTATTTTTACACACAGTACGAGTAAAAACTGCATCTAAAACAATGCAACTATTATATAACAAAAGATGCAAGATACAATAATGTAATAAAAACATTATGTGTTACAAGTTAAACCAAGCTAGTTCAATTTCTTTAAAACTAAAATTTGATTTCATCAATATTGTCACTATCTTCAGATATCAAAAAATTTCACATTCAATAATTAGCTTAAATACTGTCAATGTTTGACAAAAAGGAGAAACTGAAGCCAAACAATTTCCTAAAGTGGCAAATAAAATTTGGAAATATAATCCATCTGTTACTTAGTATATGGGTTAAACTTTCTCAGCACAAGGACTCCCAAATCATTCTGCATCCTGACTGAGGTCCCCCATCAATTAATCTATAAATACTCAGTACCTTAACAGTATTGTATTTTATTTATTCACTATGGTCTCCCCAGGAAGTATGCAACCCCCATTTTTGGAACCCATGACTTAGTTCACAAAAAATATGAGCAGGATATTAACGGATAAGAAAAATCTATCAAGTATGGAGTTTTTATTACTGAAAATACAAATGGAAGTTAGTTATAAAATGAAGCTTGTTATTTAGTTAATTTTATAAGACACCAACAGTCTTAGTGAAATGAAGCTATGTGCTTCTTCCCTTTAAACATTAAGTAATTTTTATTCACTTGTAACCAAATACAAATGAAAAATCAGTAGCTATAACCAGTCAAATATACAAAAAAAGATATATATATATAAAAGCAAACAATTGCTTATACAATATGAATCCTACACAAAATCAATATTACAGAAATATATAAATTAATTAATGGCTTTCAGCTATCAATAATACCATATAGTTTTGTGTAAAATAATTTTTAGTTTGATTTTCATATCCATCTTTAAACAACTTGATAAATGTATTACAGGTGGTAAAAACTGAAGCAAAACATAAACTGTAGCAATAAAAAAAATAGCCAATACAAGCATAACAAAATAAAGATAAGCAATTTATGGTATGTGTTATAGGTAATTTAGTGCTGGAAGTGTCCGACAGAAAATTATCACAGTTTTACTGGGTACTGCCAGCCATTGTTTCACTACTATAATTTTATTTTGTAATAATGGTATTGAGTAGATGTTTAAATTGTTATTAAATCTTATAGTAGTTTCCTATTATTTCTATTTCTACAGCTAGATTAAGAAATATTGTAGGAAATTATTTTTATCTTTGACATTCTTATAAAGACAACATCAATCACAATTGAAATTTTGTACTCAACTCCAAAATCTTCTGTTAAATTACTACAGGTAATGGTTAAATTGTAGTACAACAGCAAAAATGTTAAAATTTTATTATAACCAAAAACATAATATCTTTAAAACAGGTACAAAATACTTACTAAGCTGACTCTCTCAACACAAACTCAGTCAATTTGACCAACCACGTGACCTCTTTGTACTCGTTTAAAGTTTTTATAGATTTAATACTTCTAACTTTCAATATAGTGTGTATATATTCACAAAATTTCGCAGGCTTTCACATACAAAAAATAATATATTTTAATGAAGTATATTTAATAAAATAGAATAATGATCTGTCCATTAATATATTGAGTATTTGTTTTGAATAGTCTGTGTAAAAAGTAATTTTTATGTTAAAATTAAAAATACTGTTACGTCTCCGTTCGTTCGTTAATTAATTTTCC